GCTTCGCGATATCTCACGAAACACTGTTACGCTGCGACGCGCCTGGCATACATCTACCTAGGCCTGCGGCGCTGACACCTGAGTCAGGCAAAATGCAGAGTCGCAGATAGGCCTTAGGCTCCAAAGGACACAAATTTTGCCCCCATGATTTTATTTTGACGAGTTGCACCACCAGAGTCCATCAAATATCTGAGAAACAACATTAATATAAAAAGGGGTCATTTTCAAGTGGAAATCGCCCTCTGGCGACTAAACGGTTAGAGATAGAGCCAAACGGACGAAATTTTGGCCCTACTACGGGTCCTACCTTAACGAGTTTCTTCTTAAAACGATGTAAAAAAATATTGTTCAAAAGTTATATTTTTGGTGTCTTTGTTTTGATTTTTTTGACGGGTCACTTTTTAAGGTAGAGGGCTCAAAATCAATACAATTCTTGCTTTTTTTGCGACAAAGTTACACTAAAAATTTCAGGTATCTAGCTCAAACCGTTCTCGAGTTATCGTGTTTACAGACAAACGCACTCACAGACAGACAGACAGACACGAAACTTTTTCATCATCACTGGAGTAATAGGCTTCGCTATCGCGCAGCCAATACTAGGTAGATATACGCCAGACCACGTCTTGCGTACCAGGCTTCGCGATATCTCACGAAACACTTTTACGCTGCGACGCGCCTGGCATACATCTACCTAGGCCTGCGGCGCTGACACCCGAGTCGGGCAAAAGACAGAGTCGTAGATAGGCCTTCGGCTCCGAAAACAAATTTTACCCCCAGGATTTTATTTTGACGAGTTGCCGCACCAGAGCGGTACTTGTACTTTTACAACTTACCCCTAAGGAGACCATCAAATGTTTCCTCAAATAAATATATTTATTTTTAGGTCACTTTAGTGAGTAAAACTCCATCTAGCGCCTAAACGGTGAGAGAAAGAGCCAAACGGACGAAATTTTACCCACAGACCTATACTTTTACAACCTACCCCTTAGGGGCCGTTCATAAATTACGCCACGCTTTTTTGGGCCGTTCTTCGATCCCCGCCTCCCTTTGTCACAATTAGTCACGACGAGTTTGACTCACCCCCTCTCCCCCTGTGACGTCACATTTTCCCTTTATTAAATCTGGTAATGAATTTCGGTCGAGTGACGACATTGACATGTTTTAGGGACGTTAGGACTGATACAGAGGAACTACAAGTAGTTAAGCGGAAGTTCGTTTTCCGTCACTAGATCCGATAATCGCGCGGCTCAGAGCCTTTAGAGCTAACCAAATGGCGCGCACCTTTCGGAAATAGTGGTAGTTTAGGCACCGCACGAAGCCAGTCAAAGTGTGACGTCACCGAGGTATTGACCGCCCCACCCCAATTGTCACAATTAGTCACAAATTCGGCTACCCCTCCCCCCCCCAAAAAAAAGGGTGACGTAATTTCTGAACGACCCCTTAGGAGACCATCAAATATTTCCTTTTTTAAACGGACCCGTTTCTGCCAGACAGTTGGGGCGCGGGGTGGAGAGCATCATGATTCAACACCACCTGTTGAGCAGCTCCACACAAACGTTACGTTACGTCTGACGCTACGTCTTACGTTACATCTTACGTTACGTCTTACGTTACGTCTTACGTTACGTCTTACGTTACGTCTTACGTTACGTCTTACGTTACGTCTTACGTTACGTCTTACGTTACGTCTTACGTTACGTCTTACGTTACGTCTTCATAAAACGTAAGACGTAGCGTAAGACGTCACGTAACGGTTCTGTTCAATATTCGTTGTACGCTGTCTACGCCATTTCCGTACTATTTTTGCCGCAAATCATAATAATCCCAACTTCAAAATCACTTCAATTTTTGTAAGCCAATTAAATTCCTAAACAGGGGTTTTGAAACGGACCCGTTTATGCCAGACAGTTGGGGCGCGGGGGGGAGAGCGTCATGGTTCAACACCACCTGTTAAGCAGCTCCACACCCACGCCCGAGTACCAGAGCAACAATGGACACCTTTCTCTCGGAGTAGTCGCCGCGCGCGCGGCCCAGCGCTCATGCCAAAAATTGTGTTCAATTATAAAAGTAATAATAGGCTAATTCAAAAAAATATCACGCAAAGAGACACATCAAGAACAAGAACAATGCAGCGAGCAGGCATGAAATGCATGGCGTCGAAAAGCAGATTGTACAAGTGAGAGGGCGCTATGATGCGGCGCAAACTTCTGTATTAAAAAAATATTGCTCGAAACTATAAAATAGAAAATTTTCTTTACTAAGGGTCCGTTTATGGTTAACAAGAATTGTTTTTGAGTAAAACTCTATCTAGCGCCTAAACAGTGATGAGAGAGAGCCAAACGGACTAAATTTTAGCTCGAAGAACTGTACTCTCACGAGTTGCCCCCTAGGAGACGAAAAAAAAAAAAACCCTACTTCCTGGACCAACCCCCATTTCTTTGTTACCCCCTCATACCAAATCGGGAGTAGTTGCCAGGATTTGCACCAACCGTTTTGTTGTCCGTAGTGACAACAATAATACCCTGAAAATTTTAAACCTCTAGCTCACGTCCTTCTTGGGAAATGGACAGACAGACAGACAGTCAAACACAGGGGCGATGGCATTAGCCCGCTTATATAGCTTTTAAGCAAAACAGCAAGCTAAAAACCGACCTTGAAATTCCCAGATTGCTATCTCAATTCCTTCTCGAGTTAACATGCTGCACTGAAAAAAAATACTAGTAGGAGTTACTACGATCTTAGTACCAGGTACCAGACCAGACAGTCTAGTAAAATAGGAACCAACTAGGAATCTAGTAAAAGGTACCAGACAGGCTAGTAACACAAAATCTAGTAAAATTTACCAGATGTCTAGTTACAGATACTGCACATTTTTACGATTCCTAGTACCGTTTACCAGACTGCTTACTTACAGATACCACACACTTTCTTTCCAAAAAGTGTTCAAAAAATATACGAATGCAATATAGAAGATGTCTGCCCGGTACTACGGTTACACCGGGTGCTCGTTAACCCACGAAATTTCGAAGCCCTGACCGAGATTCGAACCGCGGACCTTTGACTTGGAAGTCCGCACCCTAGTCCACTCGGCTACGGTGACTACCTGAGGAGAGAGGCGTGCGTAACGAGTGTGATGCCACCGCCGCCGGACCACAGGCATAGCCTAGTAAACGTGCAGTCTGGTAAAAATTACTATACAGTTTAGTAAACCTAACCAGACTTAGTTACTAGACGGCTGGTTCCTGAAACTATACCTGTGTTAGTATACGATACTAAACTTCTAGTAAAGCTTAGTATTATCCTAGTTGTAATAACTAGCATCCATTTAACTAGGATTTGTCTGGTATCTGTTACTAGTCCTTTTTTTCAGTGTGACAGACAAACACACAAACAAACAGAATGAAGCTTTGTCGTACAATGGAATAACTGTAAACCCACTGTAAGTATGCCAGTTTTTTGTCCGTTCAGACTCTATACATCTGAAAAGTGCACGCCTTTAGCAATTTCCTTTATTACTTAGTAGAAAGGTCGGCTGTAGATAGTCACGGTTCCACACCGCTACATTCTCATTTGTCCATGAAGCAAGTTGCTAGTATCAGTTACACTCTGGACTTCGTACGGGTTCTCTATCTTCGGTAATTAAATTACCAGACCATTTTATAGCAATTTACTGTGGTTATATAGCTATGCTAGAATCATATCGACGAATCCAGGATGCATTGGCCTGTCGAAGATTCTTCCGCTGCCAATCAAGCTTCACGCAAACGGTAGCGACCGCACGCCAACCGAATCACAAAGAAAAGACACTACGAGCCTGTCGAATGCCAATGCAAAGAGGAAGCGCCAACTGTGATCAACATGCGTAGACTTCTTGGGGCTTCTCTGGGCACGTATGGAATTTATAGAGGAAAACGTAAATTCTTGCAGAAGGTTGTGTTATTTGCGATATTGTTCTTTGATTAACGGTCTGATCGTTATCACGTACGGAAGCTGTAGTACCGTCCCATCCCGCCAAATTTTAATTGCTCAAGGACAGTTTAAATATACTTCGTTCATAAATCGCACACAACCGAAAACATCGAGTGGGAAATCACTAGGGATCGTAGCGTACGGACTATTTCGTGGTATTTCTCCTACTATTTCGGTTATTTCTCCTGCCATTTCGGCTATTTCCCGCCTATTTCGGATTATTTCAGTCTATTACGCGCTATTTCGGAGTTTTTCAGGGGTATTTCGCTACTATTTCACCGACTATTTCGCGTCTATTTCGTCTTTATTTCGCTCTATTTCGCTTCTATTTCGCCTTTATTTCGGACTATTTCGCGGAAAGGTGTACGAACTATTCGCAAGTGATTTCCCCCTCGGAAAACATACGTGATTTTCAAAAAACTTGCCGATTCCGGAAAAAAACGCATTTAAGGTGTAGCAACAACCTTACTCCCACTAACGGGAAGACAAAAGTGACGAGTCGGACATTTAAATGCGTACTCTCACATTTGAGATGGCAGCGAGGGGTGCCTAACTAGATTAGAGAGTGTACACTACCCAGCGAAACAACTGGGAATTTCAGCTGGTTAAGATATGCGTAACTTTTCATGGACAGTGATAGTGCATTCTGCTTTAGTCTGCATGAACACGCAGCAATGAGGCATACTGGTAAAGCTGCAAGAAGAACAATGCGGTTCGTTCCCAGCATTCTTCTGCACTTGTGCTTTACCGGAATGCATTTTTCGTCAAAAAAGACCCTCCAGCACCCAAACGGTGAGAGATAGAGACAAACGGACAAAATTTTAGTGCACTGGGTTCTTCTCTCACGAGGTACTCCTTGCGAGACCATAAAATATATTTTTTTTGACTTTTCTGACCTACCCCCTTTTCTTTGATACCCCATTTCAGCCACTTAGGGTTGGTTGCCAGAATTTGCCGTGGGCGTTTCGTTTTCTAGGAGTGAACCTTAAGGTACCCTGAAAATTTGAAGTCTCTAGCACATCTCCTTCTAGCGGAACAGACAAACACAGACGGACACGAGGTCGTTTGCATAAGCCCGCTAGATAGCTTTTCTAAAGCAGAAGGGCGGGCTAAAACTAGCTCCGAGAGTCAGAGCAAAAAAGTTAGGGAAAGGCTAGGGAAAAGTCAAGGAATTTTAAATCCACGATCACACTAAATGGAAAAGGACAATTTTGTATCTAGGAGAGATGCATTCTTAAGCACATCTCTAGCGTATGCAAATTTGCACGTAAATTAGACACAAATAAAGTCATTTGTACCTAGTCTAGGTACAAGTTGTAACATTTTAGATACAAATTTACATCCGATAGAGATGTGCTTAAGAACGCATCTCTCCTAGATACAAAATTGTCATTTCAACATTTAGAGTGATTGCGTGGCCGCCCTGTATTGAATATAAATGTAAACAACCATAACCTCAATGAAAAGCAGATAGCCGTTTGTCCGCCACGCTCAGTAGGGCGTTTCGTTTTCAGGAGTAGAGCCACGCATCTTAAATGAAAATACACGTCGAGGATTTTCCAATGACGTCGCGTGAAGTGCGCTGCAATGTCGGGAACCATGCGCATGAACGGATTTTTGCCGCCAATCCACCGTCGACAAGATTTTTCCCCTGCCGCGCCGCGGACTACTACGAAGCCGACTACTCGCTGTCCATAAACACCCTAGGCTAGGTACTTGAAGTTTGTCATGTCGCCAGTACCGCGTGGCGTCACGTTACGGTGGGCGTAACACCTAAGTGAACACCAGTGTTTTCGCTGCAGCGGTGCACATCTAAAAGCGACCGGAATTGTGCGAGAACGTAGCAAATATTGAGTGTTATCGATGGCCCAACACTTATTAATAACATTTATCGGCATCATAGGCAAAAGTCAAAAAAAAAAAAAAAAAAACACGTTTTGCGGCAATTCCGCTTGCTAACTAGGCAACCTGCAGTCTGCGTGTGTGTACAAATGTAAAATCCGCACTGTTCCCGACATTGCAGCGCAGCGCTCTCCGCGCGACGTCATTGGAAACTCCTCGACGTGTTTTTTTTCATTTAAACTGCGTTCTGGCATACCGATTTTAAAATGAGACACACTAACGCTCAGGAGTATAGCGGCTTGTGCATAGGGAGGATCGAAGTTGGCGTGTTCTCGATGGTCATAGGTTAAGACTCTGATGACAAGCAGCGTGTGGTTTGACTTCAACTGGTTTCTTGGCAGGATTGCTTTTGCTTATATTCGCAAAGACAGTTGACGAGTGACAATGATGCCAACGTATGAGTGTGACATTACACAACAGAAGTCACTGCTTCTTGTTCACTACACGCAAAAAAAAGAATCATTGTACCAACGACATGAGTTGCTCCTTCCACAACATTTTGTTCTTGGAATGGCTTCAGAAACATAGGATGCTATTCCAACGACCATGATTGCTGGCTCAACGACATGGTCGGTGGCCCAACTACCGGCTGTCATAGGGTTAGCAACATCGTGTCTTTGGACCAACAACCCGGCCACAAGAACACGACGGTCGTTGGA